CAAAGTGTGTCCCTGGGTAGGATGTCTATATTAAAGCTTACCGACCCTTGGCTCAGAGATCATTGTGGAAGAGGGGGTGGAAATATTGTGAGAACCAGGATTGGTACATGAACACAAGGAAACAGAGTCTTTCGGGCCTCTGGGAACTTGTTCATATGAACCTGCAGCAATGGTGGCAGCATGCACAAGGCCCACGCTGACTCAATCAGACAAAAACCAAGCACAGAACTGGGGAAATGGGCAGCAGGCCCCAGCCTTAGAGAAGGAACTATTGGCAGCTGACTACTGCTGGGTGAGGGAAAGTTGATCCTCTTTAAAGGACTAACTCGAGATAGGCTGGCTAGACTCCAGTGGATGAACTTGAAACGGGGGACATTTGGGTACAAATGCTTGACCAGATAGGCCTTAACATATATGACAGAATGCATGAAATCCAGTGGGAGGGGGGCATTATGGAGAATTCAGATGGGGGAGGGAAGTCTAAATAGGATTACAATGTATTGTATGAAATACAGAAAAATTCAATAAAAATATACACAAAAGAATATAAATCTCATGGGCGATGGCTCAGTGGATTAGAACACTTGCTGGGCAGGCATGCGGACTTAAGTATAGATCCCTAGCACCTCTGTAAGAAGCTGGGCATGGCTGTGCCTTCCTGTGCTCCCAAGCAATGTGAGATGGAGACAGGAAGATTGCTGGGCTTGCTGGTCAGCCAGCCCATTAAAAAAAAAAAAAATGAGGTCCAGGTTCAATGAGAGGCCCTGTCTCAAGAGAATAAGACAGTGATAGAACAGGACATCTGGCATTCTCTTTTAGCCTCTACATGTGTACATAAGGACACACACACACATCCAAACATGCACATATACACATATGCATAAGCACATTTGAGAAAATAAATCTGATTCTTTACCTTCCCTGCTTAAATTCCTTCTAGAGCCTTCCCCACAAGATCACTTGTGAACACCAGCAGTCCTGCATCCTCATCCTTATGCATATATTCTGCCACACAGTCTCATCACTATTCTCTGTGCCCACAATGCCTTGGTCACTCTGACCTCCTGTTTATCAGACGTGCCAGTTACTCACCCCAGGGTTTCTGCAGTAGCAGCATTTCTCCAAGTGCTGTCTTTGCTTTGCTTTCATAGACCCTAATCAGTTTAAAGTCAAAACAATCACACAACAGGGTGTAAGCTTCACTTTTGCTGGTTTGACATGGACTGATTTATCCCTTAATTCTTACCCAGCTGAAGCCTGAAACAGTTGGACACATTCAGGTTACAAAGAGGGCACCAGAGCTGAGAGACAGAATGGTATTTAATCAAAGTCATTCAGACTTTGGGGTGCAGATTTGTCTAATGATAGATTCAGATGTGGATTTATAGGGGAACACATTTAATCTTAACACTGCTTGGGCCCATTGTTTAAAATACTTAAACAGTACGCCTTTAATCCCAGCACTTGTGAGGCAGAGGCAGGCAGATCTCTGTGAGTTCAAGGCCAGCGTGGTCTACACAGTGAGTTCAGGTCAGCTGGGACTACAAGGAGACCCTGTCTCAAAAAGACAAAAAAAAAAAAAAAAATTAAAAAAGACAAAAAAAAAAAAAAAAAAAAAAAAAAAAAAAGACTTAAACAGTACAAATAATAGAAATGAATCTCTCTTCCTCCCTCCATCTGTCCCTCTTCCCCTCCCTCCTCCCTGCTGCTTTGTGGTCTATACTTTGACTTTGCTGAGTCCAAGGTTGTGTTGCTCATAGAAAAGCACAAGCAAAAAAAATTCTAAATTTCTCTTCCATTTGTGCTAACCTATTTTTCTTTGTAACAAACTTTTTTTGATGCTAAATTAGAGTTCTTTGTAATGTATGGGTTTCTTTCTGGAAATTACAGAATGGTCCTAATTTTAAAAGCCAAATTGGTTTCATCTAATTAAATTTGGAAATTCCCTCATAAACACATACTTTGTCATAGATATCTTTAAAAGCAAGGTCTTCTGCTTGCTCTCTGGGGCAAGGCTGGCTAAATCCTGGTTAGGAGGAGACTCTGCCTCTCTGTTCAGAAGGACACAACCTTCTATCAGTTGCTAAAACTTTCTAAAAACCAGTGCTTCCCAGAAGAACATTTCTTAACTCTTAATGTCTATATGACTCTCCCAGGGATCTGATAAAACTTGAGAGTCTAATTGGGAGGTATGCATGGGGCCTGAGATGTTGCCAGGGGATGCTGGTATTGCTGGTCCATGGGCCACACTGAGTTTCCTTTGGATCTGTACCTGAATTTAGGAAACATGAATCTGCCCTCCTGTATGATCATTTTGTTTTCACATCACATTTCTATCCTTCAGCATCTTCATTTTTATGTAATGATAACAGCTAACACTTGTATTACTTCTGAATTCTGAAGGCTGTGCTAAACATGTATTTAATATGATCCTCATATCAATCCTCTATGGTAAACTACATTATTATTCTACTTTTCCATTTAAGTCTCCTGCATTCCTGAGAGTATACCTGAGGTGCCATAGCCCACACAGTAGATAATGAGCAAAGTGTGGGTTCATATCTTGGCTGCCTGACCTCAAAGTCAATGCTCTTACCTTACTTGGCCCTTGCTAGTTTGTGATACACATAAGCCCAGTCATGCTTACGCACGATGCCCACAAACTCCTAGCTTCTTCTAGAGCATTCCCAAAGAAGTCTGGTGTATTCCCAAAAGGCTCACAGAAATGTCACCCAGCTGTAGTCTTCTGGCCTTGTTTCTCTATAATCTTTCCCAAAGAGCAGACAAGAAGTGACTTGAAAATGTCTCTACATAAATGTCTCCAGTAGAGTTCAGCATGGAAATGCCAGAATGACTGGAATCGGGTCTTTGAAAATCACAAAGCACTGGGTTCACAAAGAAGTAATAGGCTACGATGTTCCAATCTGCTCCCCCTTTTTGACACAGCTCCAGAAAATGTACCATATATAGATGCCACAAGTCCAGGATTCTTTACTCAACATGTCTAACTCACAACTGTTTGTATCCTGCTTTCCCTCCATCTATTTCTTTCATCTACTCACAGAATGGTGAATTATGATTTTGCAAGTCCAGGAGCTTGCATAATCCTACTCTAGGAAGACTGACATTACTCTCAAGGAGGAACTCAATGCAGAGATAAGGCCTCACTTCCTACATAGTGAAGTGTGGTCTTTCCCAAGAGGACGTTGGTGCAATGATCAAAGCCTTTCCATGGCCAAGCTGTCATCATTCCAAATAAGAAAAACAAGGCATTTGTCAGGAGTCATTCATCAAACTAAATTTATTCAATTTTAGATACTTTTATGCTGAAATTTTATATGTTCTATAATTTTGGACTTACATCATTTTTAATGAAATGCTATTAAGAGTTAATAAAATAGCCTATGTTGGTCCCTAAAATCTTTGAAATGTTACTGGTTCATGAATTCTAAATTCATATACTCCTGGCAAGGAGAAATTTTATAGTCCTATCATGCCTTAGATCATGGATCCTTTCTCCTTGCTATACAAACTACAGTTTGTTCTGTATAATAAATCTCTTTGTGCCTCTATCTTTCTCTGTCTCTTTATCACTGATTGTGGTCTCTACAAAGAAAAGCACATAGCTTTTAAATGACTGCATTTTATTTCTTTCTTCCCTGACAAGGTTTTGACCACATCCCAGCCAAGTGTACCAATACAGGGAAATACCTCTCTCTGGCTCAAGACATTTCATAAATGTTATGGTGCATGTTGGTTCCTCCTCTCAAGTGCTGATTCTGAGAGCTGCACCAAGCTCCCTGCTGTTTCTAAAATGGAGACATTAGATAAATCTTCTGAGAGAAGGTGTTGGTGAGACAGGTGTTTTCTCAGCTCCTTGCTCATGGTGGATAATCTTTTGCTTCAGAGTTATCTGAGGGCCATCCATGTCTCTAGAAAACTTACCAGTTCACACTAGACTAATCCTGATCCTTCATCTTCAACTACATAACATCCGTAAAAACCCCCAACTCCCTTCCCAAGCCCACTCTCTGCAGAAATATGTTTTTGCATGAATGTTAAATGGTCTAAGCCCCAATGTGGGCCAGTGTTAAATGTGTCAGCCTGGGGATTCACGTGACTTCTTCCCTTCCTTCAGACTTGCTACAGGGACATGGAAGCAGTGATTACCACCCTCATTTAACAGATGAAAGATCAGGTTGGAGGGAGGAGGAGTCTACCAAGGGGAACCTGAGACTATGGAAGAGCTTTTAAGACACAAGGGTGAATCTTTGTAGCGTCAACATCCATGCCCTCCATCTTTATCACTCTATTTTTCTACTTTGTATTAGAAACTCATAGTGCCTCAGAATACATGCATGGGAGGAAAGCCAGTCTTACATATATCCTAGTACTTAGTTATATCAACATTTCTGGAGTTTTTTTGTTTTGTTTTTATTTTGTAGTGGAATTCTATATTGTTATTTCAGTTTTATCATTTCGGGTGTTAGCCTGGTGGGTGGATGCCTCCTAAGTATGTTCTTTTGTGTCTCTTCCAGGCTAAAACTTTGTCCATGGTTGGGAGGATTACACCCTATCATCTGGATAATGAGTAATATGCTTTGGGCACGGAGCAAGTTAATGCTCAAGAACTTTTCACTCTTGAGGCAGAGAATAATGATGGGATGATTTTCAAAGCCCAAGGTCTCACACAGGTGAGGTCATCACTATGTGAGTCCTGTGGTTTCCCATATAAACGTTAGCTTATGCTTTTCAGGTCTGGGTCTTCTCTTCCACAATGGGACAGTCTGATGCCTTGACCTACTGACCCCTTTACTGAAGGGATTAATCCTCACCTTAATCATCTAAATGCATAGTATGACAAATTTGTTTTTAGGACAACCAAAAATGACCAACTGTATGCCCACATTGGTTCTCACGTACCTTTATGCTCTCTAAGGAACAGCATTTGCCTACTGAATGAGGCTTAGTCAACTGAAGCAGTCCAGGAGCCTCCTTACCTCGTAAAGTGTGATGACTCCATTGGTCTCATTGGGAGGTTTCCACTGGATGTAGATCTTCTCCTCAAAGGGGCCCCCTTGGATGGACTCAAGAGGAACAGCTCCTGGAACTACAGAGGGAAATGTTATGAGCCTTATGTAACTACCTACATCACTTTTCCAGCTCCATGGACCTAGGACAGGGGTTGGCAAAGTCTCTATAAAAAGCCATATCATATGTATTTTTAGGTTGATGGTAATAGAATCTCTGCTACAATCTCTTGACTCTACCACTATAGTACAAACGTTGCCATAGACAATCCACAAACAGATGAATGTGTCTGTGCTTCCATAAATCTTGATTTTCAAAACGAAGCAATAGACTGAATTTGACCCATGGGTCAAGCTTTGCTTCAGGAGACTGACAGCGTTTCATTTGCATACTGAGCAAGCCCACTGATGAAGGGAACCTAGACAGGCAAAGAGGGTATCAGTAGGCTCCAGTCTCCTTGAGGATTGGGATTTGATACATGCAAAATATGCTTTGCCATCATTTTGCCAACACAGTCTCCTAACTCTGCCAAGTTTTCTCCAACTTTAGGAAGTACCTCCTAAGCTTCCTAATTCCTGGAACCAACAGGAACCATGAGTCTTGAAACCTTAATCCAATTAGAAGAAGCTCATCTTGCTTATGAGCTTCCAATAAGAAATCGGCTAGCTTATCTTGCTGCTGAGTCTCCAATCCTTGGTCTGGGGTAGATATTTAATATCTATTAGCTGGGGGGATGAAGAGGTAGATGATGACTTATGCCAGCATTTTGGCCTAATGAGCACATTTCTGGGGCTGCTTCTGTAACAGGCTAGTCTTTCCATCAGCATATTCCAGATGGGTTCCAGCATCCTCACAACAATGCTCAGCCAGAAAGTACATGATTCCCCAAACTTTCAGTTATAAGCCTCTAGAGAATGAAGAATTTGTGTAAATCATTACCAGATCTATTTATACTTCAGCATTGTAAAAGCAGGTACTCTTACTAAGCACTTATTCTTTGATCAGAATTTTACATACATTATTTCACTTAAGCCACAAAACAGCTCTGCCCCGTGCATTTATTATCTCCTTTGTGCTGATACAGGAGCTGAAGCTGGGAGAATTAAATCACTTGCTCAAGGTCATACAGCTCTTAAGTTGTAAAATGAGAACAGAACACCTGTCTATGAGCTTCAGAGAATATACTTTTAATCACCATGCTATGCCTCTCTAGATATAGCCTTGGCCATATGTTGCAATCAGTTCCCCATTGTTAAATTAAAATATATGTAGTTTTTCTCATGATGAGTATCATGAACACAATTTATTGAATATTAAGAATATACAAAAAGATTTTAAAGAATGAACAAAATCACTCACAATACCCAAATCCAAAGATAGTTTTCCAGTATTTTATGTGTATATATGTACATATATAAGTTAAAAAAAGTCTTTATATATATTTTAATTAATCTGTTCTTTGTATGTTATTTTTTACCTTTTTAAATCACAAATCATAGACATTAAAAGGAAAAATCCTTAAGTATTCTTTGGGATCATGCATTTTGCTTTTTAGATGACAAAATATATTTATTGATGCCTTTTAACAAGGATCATGCATTTCAACGGTCAAGTGGAGGAGTGAGACTCCATTATAGTCACAGTAACCAGTCCTTTCTTACTGGGTGTTAAATTGGGTTGGAAGTTTTCATGATTATGAGCATCACTGGAATATGCATTCTCTTTCAATTAGCATACAAAGTTTCAGGTTTCTTCGGACATTTTCACACAGTCTTTGTTTTGGTTGTCACCTCCCCAACTCCTTGAATCCTCTCCCCACCTGTGCCCTTTCACTTCTAATATTTTCTTTTCTACTTTCATGTCATATTTGTTGTTTCCTTCCCCAAACCCCTTCCTTTAAGCATGTTTTCCTCTTTCATGGGTCCCTTTTTAGTTGCATAATCTCTACCAATACTCATGCCCATGAACATACACATATATAAAAATTAGAGGCTAGAAACATGTGAGAGAAAACATATAATATGTGACTTTTGGAGCCTGGGTTACCTTACCTAACATAGTATTTTCCAGTTCCTATCATTTTCTTACAACTTCCACAATTTCATTTTTCTTTATGAGCATTCTTACAAATAAGAATTTCCATGCAGCAACTTTGCTCATGTCCCAAAGACAAATTTGTGACAATTAATCTACTAGGCCAAAGTAGATAAACTATTTTATTTTTAGGGCTTTTGACACATATTACCAGATTGCCTTCCAGAAACTTTGTATAAATCTGGGCTCCCCAAGAGAAGAATATGCCTAGACCTGTTTACTGCCCACACTGACTATTTAAAAAATTAAGTATATGTATGTCACTTTTAGAATACTGGAAAGCACAGATTTTTTTCACTTTAATTCGTCATCTGCATCGATTCTTTTAGGAACATGCTCTCTATACTCTGTGCTTTTTTTGCTCACGTTTGTTTTATGAAATCGTTACTATCATCCTTTTAAAAGACATTTATTTTTGTATAGTTTACAAATACTTCTTGCTAGATTTTAATTTGCTTTTAAAATCTTTCAGGTATGTAGAAGCTTTTTATTGGTCAAGCTTCTTACTGTTTTCTCCTAACCTTTCCTCTCTGTAAATATACCTTCTTTAATGAGATCAAGGGATTGTTATTTACATCAAGGATACACCAATAACAGAGATGTGGTCAAATCCCTTTAAGGCTTGTGCTCTAGGAGGCAGACAGATATTAAAAGAATGGCACTCATAATTTCATTAATATCATCCAAACTCGGAGGTCAAAGTATATCATATTAGGAGAATAACAATTATTGAAAAGACGGTTTAGCAAGTGGAGATCCTGAGGTGCAAGTAAGTCAGAGCTGATGGATAAGTGGAAGTATCTAGAGCAAAAGCAGGGAGTATTGGGAGTGTAGTGGATAGCTTTCTGAGGTCAAGGGTGGAAAGAGAAGAATCGGTTAGGAAGTGTTGGCAGTCATTCTGGAGAGCAAAGATGCCAGCCTGCAGCGGGGACAAGGGGTGTAGAAGAGCAATGGACTGTAGGAGATTCCTGCCATGCTAAACTAGCATGACTTGATGGTGATGGATGAGAGCAAAGGAGGGATAGGATGTGTTAGTGAGGGTCTCCACACTGTTTATATGGTTTGGGAATTGGGCTGTAGTTCATAGGGAGGAGTCTTAAAGGATGATTGCTTTTGGAGAGCATCTGGTGAGCTCAGTTTTTGTCAGACCTCACTTGAGGTATATATATATATATATATATATATATATCGTCCGGATAGAATGGATGAGTAGTGCTTGGATAGACATGATTGAAGCCAGTGTTTGGATACTGGAATCATGGTCTAGGAATCAGTCTTACAGAAGAGGATAGGGAACAAAGGAAAAGGCGAGGCTCAGACTCAGCTAAGAGAAACGTGTCTTAACTATTCGAAGGAAACCTTCAGGGAAACTGGGAGACAGTACTGAGAAAGACAGGTAGAAACCCAGAAGACTGAGCAGCCAGGAAGGAGGCAGGTTTGGGAAAGGACTGCTCAGCAGTGATGGGTATGGTTCAGTGGTCAAATCAGAAGTGACCTTGAACTTGCCATGGACTCTAATGCCTCAATGCCTATGGCCTGAGCAAGAATCATTGACAGAGATTGTTTATGTCACAAGTCCCAATGATGTGGTTGAAAAAAGGTGGAAGGTGAGATAGAACAAGCAAAGAATTTCATTTATGAAGGGTAAGAAAATGTAAACATAGCAAAGGTGAGAAGCAATGTCTATACGCAAAGAGCAGAGGGGTTAAGGCAATGAAAAGCAATCCAAATGGGAAGGTTGACTTGGAGGAGCCCTGAAGGGAGAGAAGCAAGCGAGGGTGAGAAGAAGATCCTTCCTCTGTGAGAGATGGGGGAGGAGGACCAACAGGTACAGTGGCTCGGGCAGGGGCTTTTCATTCAGTGGCTTAATTTTCTTTTTAAAAACGTTTTACTTTTATTTTGTGTGTTTGAGTCTATTGCCTGCATGTATGTAAATTGCACCTGTATCATGCAGTGCCCACGGAGGTCAGAAGAAGGTGTCAGATTCCCCTGAAAGTGGCATTACGAAGGTTGTTAGCTGCCATGTGGGTGCTTGGAATTGAATCCAGGTCCTCTGCAAGAGCAGCCAATGCTCTTAATTGCTGAGGCATCTCTCCAGCCCCTGCTTTCATTTTCTTGAGAAGTGGGGGTTAAGCTGTCTTCTACAAGTGTAAGGGGAAGACAAATTGCAAGAAATTGGGGAAAGTTGAGAAGCTTTTATTATTGAGAACCAGACAGAGAAATGTAGAATCTATGCATTAATCTGAAAGTTTGTCTGATGAATATGGGGGAGGGTCTGTGTAGTGGAGGTGGGCGATAAGTCTGGTGATTGAAAGAGGATTTTCCCTAGTGGGGAAGGAAAGGTTTGATTGGTGAAGGAAGGACTGTGGGACGTAGGTGGATGAGGAGGTTATGATGATGAATCTCAAACCAGTAGCAGGAGGTAACCTGGTCTTTCTAGCATAGAGCAAATTTTCTTTCTCGTCCCAAATCAGGTAAATAGAAAATACAAATGAGTAACTATGCTGTGACTTTTTTATGGTTATCTCCATTTCTTTTCCTTCTACACCTAACATCTGGAACTTATTTTCTACATTGTACATTATAGAAAATTAACTATAATTCTTTACAATGTTCTTAAGACAATTACTTGGCCAGTCAAAACTTTCCCCAGTGACTTAAAATGCCATCTTTCCATGTTAGGGTATTTTATACTCTGACATGTGCCATAGCTCACACTGTGACAGCATCTCCCCACAGTCTGAGATGACAATTTTAATACTTCGGCAAACTGGGTGTGATACTTATAATCCCAGCACTTGGGAGAGAGGCAGGAGGATCAGGAGTTCCAGGTCATCTGTAGTTACACAGGGAGTTTGAGGGTAGCCAGGGATCCATGAGACATTGCATCAAAAAAAAGTAAGAATTTTAGAAAAAGATTTATAAAATTTCAAAGCGACATCAATATAACTTTTTGCAGTTTCATTATTTTCCATTCTTTTGGGG